GTGTGTACTACAGTGTGTACTACAGTGTGTACTACAGTGTGTACTACAGTGTGTACTGACACTGGTCTGTTAAGGTACCAGCCAGAGTGTTCTCATGTCCAGCACAGTCAGGTTAATGTGGTCCATCATGGGCCCAGGAGCCACGGGTTGCAGACCCCTCACCTCAAGGCTGTTTTTTTATTGTGAGTTTTTTTTTTTTTTTTTGCAGAGCAACAAAGGAAGAGTTGAAGTTAACGGAGGAGAAAAGGCAGAGTGTTTGGAGAAGGTCAGGTGACCGACACCGTCCGATGGAAGGCTGTGATTGGATCAACTCCTTCAACTCAACTCAACTGTTTCTCTGCTCCAGGTTTAACCGCCTGATTGGCCTTTCCAAGGAGCCCCTCCTCCCACGCCCCGCCTCCACCTTCACCTCCTCAGCTGCAGCTCCTCTCCGTCGCCCTCCTGTCAGGGCTCAGCAGAGCGCAGCCGTCAGTCAGACACAGGCGGAGTAGGCTGTGACCTGTTAGCTCGGATCATTGAGTCACCTGAACGTCTGATTGACAGGCTGACTGACTGTGACTGGTTTCCTCCAGGTCGGCTCTTCCTGCTGCTCTGTCTCCTCGACTCAGGAGGAGGGAGCTCTACAAAGAGATTAGAACCCACGTATGGGGAAACCTGGGAAAACGACAAATCCACGGCTGGAGCATGCCCCTGGGGGGCACACAGGTGAGGGGGGGGGGGGGGGGGGGAGAGATGATGAAGATGATGATGATGGTGATGTTGGGGATGATGATGATGATGGTGATGTTGGGGATGATGGTGATGATGATGATAATGGTGATGATGGGGATGATGGGGATGATGATGATGATGGGGATGAGGGTGATGGGGATGATGGTGGTGGTGGTGATGATGGTGATGATGAGGGTGATGATGATGATGGGGATGAGGGTGATGGGGATAATGATGGTGATGATGGTGATGGGGGTGATGGTGATAATGATGATGAGGATGGTGATGATGGTGATGATGAGGGTGATGGTGATGATGATGATGATGATAGTGATGATGATGGTGATGTTGGGGATGATGATGATGGTGATGAGGGTGATGGTGATGATGAGGGTGATGGTGATGATGAGGGTGATGGTGATGATGAGGGTGATGGTGATAATGATGGTGATGATGGTGCGGGTGATGATGATGATGGTCATGAGGGTGATGGTGATGATGAGGGTGATGGTGATAATGATGATGAGGATGGTGATGATGGTGATGGTGGGGATGATGGTGATGGTGGGGATGATGGTGATGATGAGGGTGATGATGATGATGATGGGGATGAGGGTGATGGGGATGATGGTGATGGTGGGGATGATGGTGATGATGAGGGTGATGGTGATAATGATGGTGATGATGGTGGTGGTGATGATGGTGATGATGAGGGTGATGATGATGATGATGATGGTGAGTGCTCTTCATACAGGAGTGTGGTGGTGAACCTGCTCCAGAGCCCAGAGATGTTCCTGTTCTCATGCAGCTCAGGTTGTTGGATCACAGAGACTCCACGGCCAAGGTAACGTCAGCCTCTCACAGTCATCGTGTGGTCAAACCCAGGTGTTGCAGTTCTCTGAGGTCTCTTTTTCTTGTGCTCTCAGATCAACTGTGCCGTCTCAGTCCCACCTGACGTCTCAGGAGAACCCACGGTGAGTCTGTCCTTGTCCTGGTCTGTGTCCGTCCATCCAACCATCCATCCGTCTACGTCCCACCCAGACCAACCGTGGCATGTGTTCATATTTTCACTCCTGTCTGCTAGTGTTCAGTGTGGATCATTTCTGGCCCCGCCTCCAGCAGTGACATCACAGTGATTGATCCAGCCCGGTCCAATTCACTGCTGGATCAGTTCAGCCTCCCCCCCACGGCTGCTGCTCTCTGCCTCTGTGCCGTGCCCCCAGTAGGTCAGTGATGGTGGACTTGTCTGTGACCGGGGTCCGGTCTGTTCCAGTCTCAGTCTTTACCTTGGTCTTTGTCTTGTCAGGTGGAACCACAGGAACCGTGTGGATTGGAACTCAGGAAGGAAGGTAGTTCTGTCCAGACCCGTCCTGTCTCAGCCAAGACTTTTCAGCAGAAGGTTTCGTGTTCACTGCCCTCTGCTCTTTTACAGTGTACTGGTGCACTCTGCCTCTGCCGACAGGAGGCGCTGTCTCCAATCCAGTTCCCTCTCAGAGGGCGTGTATTCACTGACGTGAGTTGAAGCTGCTCCCTCCACCGCTGGTCTTTAGTAGAACATGGTGTTGACGTCGTCGTTGTTGTCCATGGTTTTGTTTTTCCAGATATTCCCACGGTCATGTCGTCGCAGGGTTAGCCGATAGCTCGTTAGCATTTTTCTCACACAGCTCAGGTAATAGTCCTTTATTTCAGGACAAACTCTGTCACGACCTGAAGCTCCTTGACACAATCATCCACTCAAAGCTGTGACTGTTGTGACCGACAGGCGGCTGGAACCTACAGCCCCACACGGTGTTGCCCCTGGGGTCAAACCCTCTGCAGCCCCTTCGCTGCTGCCTTGCAAAAGATGGCCGCCTGTGGGTGGGCTGTTGGAACAAGGTCCATGTGGTGGACCTGACCGGCAGGAAGGTGGAGGTAAGAGGCCAGGCCTTGGGATGAGTGGGCGTCAGTGGGCGTCAGTGGGCGTCAGTGGGCGTCAGTGAAGAGTTCAACAGTTAATTATGGGATGTTCAATGTTCTCAGCAAACATTCCAAGTGTCGGAGCGCTGTGAGCAGCAGGTTCGGTTCCTGTGTGCCGGTGGTACTGGTGTTTGGACTTCCTGTCGACTGGACCCGGTCCTCCGACTCTTTGACCGGTTCACTGGCCGGCCGCTTCAGGAAGTTGATTTCTCGGTTGTTGTCATGAAAACATTAGGTACATTTTCTTATTTACGTATAAAATAAAAGCGTTGATGACGGTGTTTAGAACTTTGTCCAACGGTCCCGTCTCTTCGTCCAGGCCAAGACTTCCTGGCGCTCTCATCGTTCCAGATCTCCTCCCTCACAATCATCTCCACTCGTCTGTGGGTGGGCACCGGAGGCGGAGCCGTGTTCTCCATCCCATTATCAATAAGTCAGTCTTTGTGTGTTTGTTCTGCTGAGCCAGCGTCCTCAGGTCCTGACGTTCCTCCCTCTCCGTCCACAGCCTCAGAGGCCGTGTCCATCCCATACTGCTCCACGTCATCAGCCCAGCTGTGTTACCATGGACACAGACAAGCTGTCAGGTTCATCATCGCTGCACCAGGTGAGACCTTAACGGTTGTTCCTTAAATAACTCGGCGCTGCCTCCTACAGGAAGTACTTGAACGTGGTTTCTGTGCCTTCAAGGTTGTTTGATGACCTCTCCTGGCAGCAGGACTGTTACTGCAGCTCAGCTTGTCCTCAGCGGGGGAGAGGGCTACGTCAACTTCCGCATCGGTGAGTAGAATATCTGACAGCTGGTTATGAATCTGGGAAAAATACAAAACTCAACTAAATGGAGAAACGTCCTCCACCAGGGGACGATGAAGACGAGGCGTCGGAGGAGCTTTCCCAGGCCACACCTCAACGGTCTGAGCGCAGTCACATGATCATTTGGCAGAATCACACCTCTGCTGTGCCAAGCCCCGCCCTCTGATGTTAGTCATCAGCCAAAGATGCAGCGGGTGTGGACGGCACAGCGGGTGTGGACGTCACAGTGGGTGTGGACGGCACAGTGGGTGTGGAGTGGACGGCAGACGAACCTGAGACTTCATGAACTTTTTAAAGTGAATATACGTCTCATATATATTTTGCACATCTTTGTTTACCTTGTTGACGGTGTACCAACCGTCAGACCGGATGCTGTTGCCGTGGCGACGACCTTCTACGTGTCCTGGTCTGGTCGAGGGACAGTAACATCCGACATCTCAGAGTTCAGGGTTCTCCATCTTTGGTTCTAGTTCTTTGTCATGTGCTGCTCAGTGGCGACTCCTGTGGTCAACTGGAAGACAGTGGGACAATCAAACCAGCTGACCTCTCATGTCACGGTGCTGCTCTGATGTTGATGGAGAGGTTGTGTACTCCGACCAATCCAAATGGACCGTGACTGTATTTGTTCTTTTAATCTCTGATCTTGTCTTAATTTATTGTACGGTTCCGTCTTAAGGTCGGATGGTTTTAAGTGTCACTTCAGTCACATGTTCATGTCGTCGTTGTCTTTCTTGAACAAGCGATTGTGACCTGAGTGTTTCGCTGACTCAGCTGATCTTCTTATTAAAGTATCTCTTACTGTGTGAGCTGCTCTACGGTCTGTGGCTGTGTCGTCATCAACGGTCCAACCCCCGGGTCACGGACCAGTCCATAGGTCATTTGGTACATAATGTACTTAATTTTGACAAATGTATTCAGAGAAAATCCAGTCGTATCATTTACTTTCTTTATTTAAAGAGAATCTGGGAATATTTGAAAATGAAACGTCACTCAGACTCTGGTCCAAACAACAGAGTCTGAAAGATGTTTGATTTTGAAAATGTAACGATCCTTGAATACTCTCAGTTACTCGGTACCAGTGTGTAGTATCAGCTGGTATAGATGTTTCTGCAGGGGGTTATTTATTCAAGACACAAACATTGTTTCATTTCTGTGTAATAAAAAACGTTTAATTTCTCAGGTTAAGAAACTCTGCTGCATGAACTTTACAAAATGTTTTTTAAGCTCCAGTGGGCCACACAGAACAACTTGGCGGGCTGCATTTGGCCCCCGGGCCTTGAGTTTGACACGTGCATTGGGCCGTCCAAATACAGGAGGAATAAAAAGTGTTTTCTGTAGGGGGCAGCAGTGTTGTAGACCAGTCACCCAGCTCTGTGTGAACCACGTGGGCCACGTCTTATGTTGGGCTGCTGTGAGTCCTGGGCAGGCGTATCCTGCGACTCAGCGACCGAGCCAGGCGGTCCACAGCTCCACCCACAGTTCCCAGTTCCTGTTTGGAGGTCAGGCCCTCGATGTTGCCACTGTACCACATGACCCAGCCTGCCAGGGACAGGAGCACCAGCAGAGCTCCCGTGTACACCAGCAGATCCCCAACGTCTTGGCCTTCGATCTCCAGAGGAGCGAAGACCCCGAGCAGCAGAGAGACGACGCCTAACAGGTCCATGAGAACCGCAAACACCAGCGCCAGCTTACAGTGGGACAAACCATCGTACTTCTGAGCCATGTCTGAAAAATTTCAAATATTTAAAATATGTTTAATAAGTCACTTTAGACTAGAACAGTTCTGAAAGACAGTAAATGTTAAAGTATTCTTATGTATCAATGAAAGAGTAATTTGTACATTTGGCTTCTTTTAATCCGTCTTCAACAGTTGGTCTGTGACCTCTAGCGGTTCTGCGGAGGTACTGCAGAGGGTCGTGAAATTTGTATTTCTTACACACATTTCTTTGTATGTTCCGCGCTTAAATCTTAAATATAAATCATAAGTCTGTTCTTTGACCTGCGTAGGTAACAATCTATGTCGATGTCAGAATCCAAGGTTTAACTTAAAACACACTCTTATACTACATATATGGAACGTTGAAGACATTTGTAGTATTCCTTGCTCCATCCCTCCATCGGGGTACACCCTGAAGTACATGTAAAATACCTGTAAATATATATAATTTATTTGTTTATACAAGTCAAGGATTTAAAGTCACAGGATTTTATCTTTTTATAAGTTGTTTTTCTTTTTATGCAAAAGGTAATAATTGTCTGTTATCTTCAACCACAACACTGGACTGGTCACTGCACTGGTCACTGCACTGGTCACTGCACTGGTCACTGCCAAACTGTAACAGCCTGCTGTGGTCGGATTAGATTAGATTAGATTAGATTAGGTTGGTCTACTCTGGTGCTTCTACAGAATAATTGAAACATTAATTCCACTTTTCACTTTAAAGTTAGTTTAAATGTTACCGAACTTGAATTATTTAATCTGCTAACGTTTTACCTGCATCTTCACAACTGAACAATATTCTGTAAAAACCTCAATTTTAACACTTTAAATCACAACTAAAAACACATCTATTCAAAACTGCATATTCCCTCTGATTGAAGTAACGCACCCGCCCCATCACCCCCCGACTTGTACTGTTTTAACTGTTTTCAACAAACCACCTATAGCACCCCCCGACTTTTAATTAATTGACTTATTTATTGTATTTTAAATTGTTTTTAACTGTTTTACATTGTCTCATAATGTTTTAATGTTTTTACTGTCTTTTCTTGTATTGTGTACGGTGACCTTGAGTGTCCAGAAAGGCGCCTATAAATACAATTTATTATTATTATTATTATTACTTTGGGACCAATAAAGTACAGAAACACGCACAACAACGATGAAGAAAACACTCACTGACCATTAACCAAACTCCCGCGTGTGTGTGTGTGTGTGTGTGTTTTTACCAGTGTCCCAGTAAATACAGGGACGCGGTTCAGGTTCCACACCTTTACTCCAACAAACTACTGTGTCTGTAATATATAACACACCCGCGAGCTGACACATTTACTGACACGTTAACTGACATATTTACTGACACGTTACCTTTATGTGGACTTACCTTCGAAAGTCCTGTTTGGAGAAGACACGAGTTTAAAAAAGAGAAGGTGTTTACAAAAGAAATGGTTTTGTGCCCAACCTCTGGGTGTAGAGGTCGACGACAGTGTAACCTGAGACCTCGTCACCTGTTCTACCTGTCGTGCAGTTTCACTGGCGCCCTCTCTGTACAGTGAGGCAGAAAAGTAAATAGGAATGACACTATTGGCTTTGTTTTCTGCTTTAGTGCACGTCAGTGACGTCATTATTTTACCGTTTGCGTGGGTTAGCGCTTCCAGGGTATTTTGGTGATTTAATGCGCACTACAACGATTCTTTTCTGTAAATATTTCGCAAATGAAACCACAATTTGTTCTCTTTCTTCATCATTTGTTGAGGACGGTCGTTCTTAGTGAAAACATCCGGAAGTGACGCATGGTGGCGTTTAAAAAATAAAAGCGGATAATTGTTATTGTTCGCTTGTTAGCTAGCTGATGAAGTAGACAAACGGAGATATGACAGAGTAATAACGACTTATTACATGTGCACTCATAAGTTATTACTAGCCTAACGTGGTATGTACAATTTTCTGCGGGACTATATAAGTGGCACAGCGATCCGATTGATAACAAAAAGGAGGATTTAAATAATCGGGAGTGAAGAAAGCGGAAGATTGTTATATCTAATTTGGAGCTACATTTACTGTATATGCTAACATTACAGGAAGCTAACACGGTGTGAAGCTAATGTCGTCTCGTTAGCCCGCTAGTCACTTAGCTTCTCTCCACACAGTTTAATTACATCTGTTTATATGTCTGTGTTGATCTTAAAGCTTTTAGTTCGGTTTACAGGCAGTGTCGTTGCACATAATACACGACCGCCCACGTTATATTGTTTAGCAACGAACTCAACCTTTAGTAAATGAAGATAAACACACGGTTGGTGTATTTGGGGAATCTGATACATTGATTTTCTTTTAAATATTAAGAATGAAAAATAAAATAATATAAAATATCGTTACAACCAACTTCTCATTTATTTTGTCCGGAGTAAAGATGGAGGACGGGAATAGGACTGATGCCACCTCCACATCCAGGGGTCACGCAGGTTCACTTCACCTGCAGAGTAAGATTTGAAGGTCTCCAGTGTTCACTATGATCATATCTGTGTTTACCCCTGGTAATATCTCCCTTTTTTAAAAACCCAGCTCCTAAAAATGAGGATGCTTATGAAATTGCAATACCTTATGAGGAGAGCAATTTTGAGCAGCAAGGATTTTTCAGCCAGAGTGATCAGAGTTTTGATGGTAAGAACATTCAGTTCAACACATTTACATATCTGCATCTCTTGTTTCCCAACTTTTCCATCTGCATATTTCAGATTCACCATCATCAGCTGGTCCGCACTCAGTCAACAACTCATACATGGTCATCACAAACCTGCGGACACAGCTACAAATCTCTCTAGAGAAAAACTCATGGCTTCAGAAAAGAATTGAGGACCTGGAAGAGGAACGGGACTTTCTCCGCTGCCAGCTCGACCGCTTCATCTTTTCCACAAAAAGCCAAGGACCGGAGCAAAACCAGAGCCAGTACAGTAATGGTGAGTCTGTTTTTAAAGTCCTACATGACAGTCACCTGAAACTGAATGGGTTTGAGGACAGGATGTTGTTACTGTGGGGAAACATTTTCTCTCAGTTTCTGCATTTGATGTAGCAGATCAGAGGGTGAGTGGGTTCAGTGTTGTCCTGAAATACTGTTCTTGGGTCGAGAATGGGGAGCATCATTTTGAAACAAGTAGTGAGCTCTGTCCTGCCTGTTGTAGGGTATGAGACCAGACGATACAACTGGAGGGTGAGAAGAGACGACGACCGTCCAGCAGGTAGAAAATCAAACATTTTAACTTGAAGTTCTGCTTCTGAGTCCTAGATAATATACAGTAGTTGTTCACATTCATAGTCTTGGCCCCACAGAGCAACACAAGAGTGACCCCTCCCACTTTCCCACACGTCCGTTTGTCCAGCGAAGGCCAGGTCCTCCTACACTGGTGCCTTCTAAAAACCATGGCTCTGGTTCACTAACCAATCAGCTCGCCTCTATGAATGCACTATTCAGCTCTACACAGTCTCAAGCTCTCCTACAAAGTCAAGGCCATGCTAATCTGGCAGCAGCAACAACAGCCAGTGGCTGCAGTGGAAGCAAGAACAACACGTCGAGGTCAACCATGAATGTATCGAGTGGACAAAGCAGTGTGGCTCAAGGTACTGCGTGACTGAATAACACTGTCCTGTCCCAGTCCATCTGCTCTGTACACTTCATACTGATGTCGGTTTCAAATTCTTAAACATAACATTGATTTTTGTTTTCCTTGTAGATTCGATTTCTCTCCTGGGGGAATCCGATGAGTACTTGGATCAAGACGGCTACCTTGACGAGGAGGAGCTGATATCAGGGGAAGATGTAATACCAGAGACCATCAGCAGCAGCAGGAGGAATCAGATAAAGAGAAGACGGGTTTTCCATCCGCCAAGAGAGCGGCAGAGAGGTACAGCACGTACATGTATACACACACGTATATATTACTGTATGGCTTTATTGTCACCTGTCTTGAAGTGAATGTTGCTGAGTCTCTGTGAATCTTTGGGTTTCAGTTAAAGACGCAGCTGGAGTGTTGTTTCGCTACAAGAAAATCCTGCTCACATACCAGCGTTTGAAAAACATGTCCAAGGCCTTTCAGATCCACGGTGTGGACCGGAACACAGTGGCCTCCACTACGCCTATAGCTGAGCTGCTCCTCGTGGCCCCAGAGAAGGTAGCAGAGGTGGGAGAGTTTGACCCCTCCAAAGAAAAGCTGCTGGACTACGCCAGACGCTGCTACGCTGCCTTGGATGAAGAGACTCTCAGCAGAGTGCAGGCCTTGAAGAAGAACAACCTGCTGCTGCCCATTTCCTACAGGTTCAGACACTGAACAGACGACAGAGTGATGGGACGGGTCGTCACCGGCGGTGTCAGTGTGTAACACAGGACAGGATGTGGCGTTCACAGGCACCGACAGGAAACGCCTGGTATTTTACTGTTGGATGTGTCCGTGTAGGATACAACTCAAGTTTGACCTTTTTTATACGTAGAACATTTTCACTGCTCCCTGTGTGTACTGCGTGTACTGCGTGTACTGCGTGTACTGCGTGTACTGCGTGTACTGCGTGTACTGCGTGTACTGCGTGTACTGCGTGTACTGCGTGTACTTTCCCAGAAAATTTCCCAGAAAATGTTGGACCATTGTTGTTCTGATATTAAGGACAAGGGGGCGCTGTTGGAGCAGGAAAAGTGGAAAATGTGCTGCTTTTATTTGAGAAAGTTCTGAACAGGATTTTGGAAATGTCTTTTATGAAACAGTGAAACGATTCAGACAGTTTTCACCAACTTCATTTATTTGTTCGGTGGTTCATTTCAATATATTTCTGTGACTCCAGTCCGGTTCACATTAAACTGCACCTTATAGAAAGTGTCGTAGTGAACTCCCATCATCGTTCTGTGCTCGTCTGTTTAACTTGTATCTCGTCTGGCAATACTGTCATATTCTATTGTATCTTTTATATTCTTTTTAATTGCCTTAATGTAAGTTATTTTATATTGGCAAAAAAAAAGAAGTGTAAATATCCATGAGTGACTCGGTTCATTTTTACTTGGTCAAAGTGCAGTTTGGCCCCTCCCTCCTGGGATTTTCTATCTATAAAATATGTAAATGACAAACACAAGCCGTGGTTGTGTTGAAAGTGTTTGCATCATTTTCATTTGATGATGTGTTGATACTGGTATTTATTCTGGTGTGTATTGCTGCACTTTTATCTGTAGACTCTGTCAACACACTTTATCTCCATGGTCATCGTGCGTTTCTTCTCACCACCATCCTCAGCCTTGAATATATTTTTGCATCAGCATCATTCTTTGGTTCTGTGGTTGGCCACGGCAGCTCGAAGGTGGTGAGGATCTGGAAACATTAGCTCACATTAACATACAGTGTTAGAAAACAACAAATGTTCTCAGGAATTCTAATTAAAAAGTAATTTAAAGAAATGGGAGGGAAACCAGTAGTAAACCTGCCTTTATCACAACTACTGAGGGGGTTTGTTTTCCCGAGTGACTAGCAAACATTTTTGAAAAGGTTGTGTTTGAGAAATCGAATTCATTTGGTAAAATCTAAATCTAAAGTCCTTTTGTCCGGCTGTCCTTTTAGCGGATTGGTTGGTGCGCACTAACAGAACTAGGAAGTGTAGAAGTGAGTTAACTATCTTTCTGGAATCTGTGCTTTTTAGATTTGATTAATTTATCAAGTCAAATGAAATATAAAAAGCACACATTGAAAGCTTGAATACGTGGAATCGCAAAGAACAAAACACCTCTGCGCGACTTTGAGATAATCCTCTTCTCTCACCGGAACCCAAGCATTCATCAACTTCCGGTGTCACAGGATACCAGGGAGACGGTGTGAAAAAGCGGGCATACCGAAAATCTTCATTGTTATCCTCAGGCTTGAACGATTAAATAACGAATTTATTTGACTTTAAAAGTAAGACGACTACATCTCGCTGCTCGGCTATTCGCTGGGATTTGCATCTTTTTTCAAAAGGAGTCTCATTCATTCGTACTCGTACTCGCTAGGAGGCTAACGGGGCTCCACACTCACAGGCCCGTCCTCTGGACTTTGCTACACTCAGCTAAGCTAACATTAGCAGGCTAACCCATGCGATCACGTCTTCTTTCTTAAAGATATTACAAGCTGCGCCGTGTATAGGTAGCAGAAGGTAAACACAAATGCTTTCTAAGGTTTTCTGTGTTTCGTTTTGTTAAGTACTCTGCTTATTTAGTCTCTCTTTATTCAACAGCAGCCGTGGGGCGCTTGGCTTCTGCGCTCTAGGTGTTCACTTTGTTGCTAGCTCGAGCTAGCCACCGCCAACTGAACAACGCAGTCACCGAAAGCGCAGCAGCCCTCGCATCTGAGAGATGTCGGACTTCGACGAATTCGAAAGACAGCTATCCGAGAACAAGCAAGGTAAAATAGTACACAGAAGCATTGACCGAACGGTTGTCTGTTTTACCTCAGGTCGCGTCTTTTGAGTCATATATATGTGTATATATATGTATATATATAACTATATATGTTTTTTCTCAAGACACCATGGCATATGTAATTGGTTTTACTTTAATAGTTGACCGAGATCATGGCCTCTATTATTTGACAGTGATTAATCACTGTACCGTCCGAGTTGTTTCACATCTAAAATCGAAATATGCATTTAAGACGGCACTGTAAACCTCGAGATACCCTTTTGGTTTTTAATTGTTAGTAGATGATGTCTTTTTTGTGTGTGTATTAGGTGTTTTACAGTAAGAAGCAGACGTCATACATAGTTTCTTATGTAATTTACACCTATAGGTACAGTGTGGGGGGTTCATCTGGTTTTGAACCCATTTTTATAAGAATTACCTGGATTTAATCATTTTAACAAACAAAGGCACGTACTTATATCTCAAATTCATGTTTCATTACAGTAGCACCTTTTTATATTCAGATTTGGTCTTTTAAAGCAGTGTATCATCCAACAGACAGGAGACGTGCCTTAGTGTTCAAAGTCATCCATGTATGTGGTCTTCTATGCTGGGATAATGTCCTGTGGAATATTCCAGTACAACAGGAAGCTTTACAGGACAGAGTGTCTGTTCCTTGAGCTCTGATTTGTTTGGCAAAGTCTGTGCTGTCATTTATGTTTCATACCTTGTTTTACTGTTGTTTCATGGCAGTAAATGCTTTTCCTGCAGCTGAAAGGGACAAAGAAAATCGCCACCATCGCCGATCCTCCTCCCGCAGCCGCAGCAGAGAGAGGAAAAGAAGGAGCAGAGACCGGGACAGACGTAGCAGAGACCGTCGCGGGGACAGTAAGGAGCGCAGGCACAGGCGCAGGTTAGCATCTTTATTCCACTAACCATGAGAATAACAAACCTGGAGAATAGCTGTGTCATTAATAGTACAAATACAGCCCTCTAAAAAGGCCGCAGGTCCACATTTGTCCAAAAATCTGACGAGCGTTATATTTCTCACCAGTGAAGATCCAAACCACTCACTGGACGTCTTTCATTTCCAATCTGTACAAAAAGCTATTCAGTCTGAAATGTTCAATGGCTTCAGTCCTGCTTAAAATGAGACTAAATAGAAGTTATCTTTGAACCGTTGGACCTGTTAGCTTCTACAAATCTAGCTGTATTAGCTGGTCTCATTTTAAAACCCTGACGACCAACTGCCTTTAGGAATAATAATAATGATGATATGTTGTTTCTAGTATCAGACAGGCTTTACAGACTAAGGAATGCAGACCTAACTCAGTCTTGAGTGCTTTAGAATGACTTTAACATTTAACAGCATTAATGATGGTCACACTGAGTCTTTAGTCAAAACATGTGAAATTAGACTCTGTCTTTGCAGTTGGTGTGTTTTTAAGAATGCCATGTCCATCTGTTGGTCTCTAGAGGTACTGCACATGCAGTTGGCTGTTGAAATGACTTTTCACACCATAATAATGTTGAGTTAATGTGAACAGATTACACACACTGTCTTTACAGTATGTACCAGAATGTTCATTCATTTCCTACAGCTCTATGGGGGGGGAGGGGGGGGGATGAACACAGGGACATTTACAACACTTTCTAAATCAGACCACATCCAGATTTACTGCTATCAATGTAGCGTCTGCTAATGTACTTGTGGAGATGATGATAAATGTCATGAATATTTTAAGAAAAACTTGAAACCCTTCCGATGTCATTTCAGCTCACCATCCAGCTACCCACAGGACAATGCTGGAAGGTAATACAGAAACCTAACACAAAGCTGCTCTGTGCTTAAGTGCAGCCACTGCACCTTAATGATCTGCCACTGTCCTTCAGTACAACTGACTCGTTGTGTTCACTCTGCCTGGATTGGTGTTCTGACCTCTTTTCTACCATCTGTGTCAAAGTATTATGATGCCTTCAGGGTCTCCCAGAAGTGACACTGTACTTTGCTGCCACCATGTTCTGAAGGCTAACTGCCTACGGTTGCATTAACATCAGCTGCTTCTTCCACACACAGTCGTTCTCCACACCGTGAGAAGAAGAAGAAGGTGAAGAAGTACTGGGATGTTCCTCCACCTGGTTTTGAGCACATTACTCCCATGCAGTACAAAGCCATGCAAGGTAGAAACTCCAGCTTCTTTTTTTATGATGATGATGTTTGGTGATGAGGCTGTGAGTGCCCCCCCCCCCCCCCCCCCCCCACCCCTCTCCGTGTAGTGGGTTCATCTGTGGGTTCTTTCTCCAGCTGCAGGCCAGATCCCAGCCACGGCCCTCCTGCCAACGATGACTCCAGACGGCCTGGCTGTTACCCCCACACCTGTCCCCGTTGTGGGCAGCCAGATGACCCGACAAGCCCGGCGGCTCTATGTTGGCAATATTCCCTTTGGTATAACAGAGGTGAGGAAACCTCTGTGGCCGTCACCTGTCCATCACCAGAGAAATACTCCACACAGCTGTATCATAATCGTTTTCTTTTCTCCATATTCTTTCCTTACGAGTAGGAATCCATGATGGACTTCTTTAACGCCCAGATGCGGTTGGGTGGTCTGACCCAGGCCCCTGGAAACCCTGTCCTCGCAGTACAGATTAACCAGGATAAGAATTTTGCCTTTCTTGAGGTGAGGTGCTGCCTGTCCGACGTGTGTGTGTGTGTACGTGTGTGTGTACGTACAGGTACAGTGGAGCCTCTAGATACCAGCGTCCATGTTACCAGTCTGCAACTATTGATACCAGGAAATATCTAGTTACCAGTGGCTCAACCCAGGGCTGGCATCCATTCAGTGGTACAACATGGGGAACTCTGCTGGTCACTGACTTTTAGTGTTTAATAAAATAAAATAATATATAACTCTTCTCCTGCGGTTAGTGGTCCTGACACTGTGTGGCGCTGTCTGTCCTTCTCTGGGTTATTTTACAGATTTTATATAACAATAATATAAAGTGTTTCCTTAATTATTATTGGAACAAATTAATTGGTTTTTAGTTATTTTTAATGGGGAAAATTAGATGGAGACGCGAGCGCTGCTGTGGAACAGATTGAAGTGTTGTCTCAGGGTCCACTGTATCTGTGTATGTCTGTACACATGGTTACAGCAGGTGATGAGGTCACCAGTGGCTCCGTGTTCTAACCCTAACCCTCCGTCCTGGGGGGTGGAGCTGATGGAGCCGCTGACTACTGTGTTCTCTCCACGTGCTAAAGCTGGACCTGAGTGTCTGCAGTTCCTCCTCTGTCAGTGAGGTGGTGTCGTAAACAACTCAATTACAACTTAATTGTCAGACAAGTCCAGATCAAAAAGTCAACGCCCTGGTCCATAGTAACCAGTCTAACCAGGTGTGTGTGTGTCTGTGTGTGTTTGTTTGTTTGTGTGTGTGTGTGTGT